ATATTATTTCTCTGTCGGAGCCGCTCAGACCCCCACATACCGGTGGTGCGCTGTCAGTAGGAATCCCATTCAACACTAGCCTCTGGCCCGGTCGCCTCCTTGCGGTTCTCTGCGGCGGCTGGAAGCGGTTTCATGTTTGTAATCCAAACTGCAGGCAGCAGGATAATAAAAGCGGACATGTTCTGCCGGCAGATTTCAGCATTTTAAGTTAATTTAGGCGTCAATAAACTGTTTAAGAGGAGTGATCATAGCGCTCTATATCATCAGCATGTGTCTGTCTCCCTGCCAGCTCGCAGGTCAGCGTCTTTGATTGGTTGATGCGGCATCGAAGCAGAAGTTTAATTTTTCCATCTCGAGCAGCAGCGCGTTTGCGGCACGTCGCGCGCGTCAGATGCTTAAACGCTTGCTGCTTCAGCTGCTCAGACGCGCTGCGCCTACTGCTCAAAACGCGCTGCGGGACCTTTTGCTGCGCGTCAACCATTGACTTTGCATGTAAACTCGCTGCTTCTGCTGCGTCCGGTGTGAACAAAGCATTAAGAATTATCTGCGACACAATCCCTTTCACCTCCTTAAGGAGGATAAACCACAAAAATTTATTTGCATAAGTAACATACATTAGACTTTTTTCAAAGCATAGTTTCCATTTTAAATTTTTGATCAAAATACCCCTAGATCCTTTCAGGTAAGGACTACAGTAGGATTCAGTACTTCAGGTGTCATAACTCTGGTGTATATGTGTGAGGCTGTTCACTGTTAAACTGATCTCAGAGGGTGGACGTGACATTCCTCAGCTCAACAGTTTTCTCAACATTTTCTCCTCTGAGGTTAAAAAGAACCACCAGATGACTATTATCTGTCTGATGATCAACCCATGTGGTAAACTCAAGTCCTTTGAGCTAAAACTCCCTGTACTATGATCTTTCTTCATGTGCTTAGATAACTCTCGTTGTGTTATGCTCAATTTACATGAGAGAGAGAGAGACAGATTTATTTTGTCATTTTGTATACACAAGTGTAAATTTCGTTTAAAACAGCTCTAGACACTTTCATTTTTTAAAGTACAGCCTTGAAAAACAGTAATAAAAACATAGAAAAAGAAAAAAATAGTAATATAAACAAATTACTTCATATTTACAGTTCTTGACATCTAAGCTGTTCCCTATATTGTCTGTTCCATTCCAGGTTTAAGCCACTGTTGGTTTGTTGTCCCACTCTGTTACTCAAGCACTTTCTTCCCCTGATAGATCTTCATCCAAGAAACACTAACCTTTTTATGGTTATACTACACAGTTCTGCCTCTGCTCTGTGGATGCTTGCCTGCCCACTGTCAAAAAACCCCAAAAAACTCTAAAACATAACATCCAATTCAAAAGTAAAATTACGAAAAAATTAGCTGAAAATATACTATGAGTTCTTCAAAAGACAAAAGATGCTGGCAAAATATTTAAACTCTAATAGTAATAGAGCTACATACAATCCAAGCAAAAATAAAGTATACATTTGCAGCAGAGAGTAATTAAGGACAATTTCGCAACCGATGGCATTAACACTCTGTGTTTTATAATACTGTTTTTGTTCTGCAACGCAGCAAACTTTGCATGAAACCTGTGTGTGTGAACATGTGTCCTTTCAGTGCAAATTTATTTGAACAATTTCCTGTAGTGTCTGAATGCTCTGAGGTGAATCTGTTTTTACTTTCTGTGTGTATCAACTGAACTCGTTTGGTTTTGACCACATGACAACTGGTTTTGAGGTGACACTTGATGTCTGTTTGAAGTATGTGGTTTTCCTAATGTAGTTTTAGTTTTTGGGTCTGTTTTTAAGGTTTTGAGAAAATGGAAGGTGGTTTCAAGAAACGTGTATTAGCAACTGTGAAAAACCGAAATTGCTTGAATTTTATCTTTCTCTTCCTCTTCTTAGTTTAGTTCCTCCTCGTCCACCATCTGTCAGATGTAGTTTACTTTTCAGTATGTTTCTTTTTATTATAGCTATTAGCACATGTGCCACATGTGTATCAGACCTGGCTTTTGTCCAGTTGGTCTAATAATATAAGATACATGTGTGTTCAATTTTAAGTTGCTGTAAGGGTTTAGAATTTTGCAACACAAGTGAATCACAATGTGAAATATATTGGGTGACAGGGATTTTTTTTTTAAGTTTTCCAAATAAAGGTAGATAGATTTTTTCAGACTGTATCTAAGTACCTGAGAAGTGTTTGAGGTTTGTCAAGAGTTATATATTAAACAAAAAATAGTTTAGGAAACTGAGAATTTGGCTTTTGGAATGGGGCTTGATGTTTTTGCAATTGCAAAAAGCTGTAAATACCATAGAGTTTAGGCAACTGTGGAGGCACAGCTGTACGTAAAGCTGTTTACGAGAAGGCAAACAACAGAATTTGTTTTTGAGGAAGCTTGGGTCTTTCAGTAATGCAGTAATTTGCTGGAGGACTCTCCTCAAGCAGCAGAGTGATAACCTGGGTTTCTTAAAAATAAAATGCTGCATATTTAAGGTTTTTCAAGATTAAGGTATTTTGATCATAACCCATTTATCAATCTTTACAGATATAATGTGCAACAATATCTCATTGTTCTCAAACTGGAAATTTATGAAATCTACCTATTCCAGCATTTTTGGCATTTATTAATTCAGCAACCAACAAACCAAGAGAGCAACCAACCATCCATCCATTTTTTGTAATGCTTATCCCTGCTGGGGTCGTAAGGGGTGCTGGTGCCTATCTCCAGCAGTCAATGGGCGAGAGGAGGGGTCCACCCTGGACAGGTCTCTAGTCTATCACAGGGTAACAAAGAGACAAACAGGACAAATAACCATTCACACACATTCACACCTAAGGAGAATTTAGGGACGTCTATTAACCTAACAGTCATGTTTTTGGACTGTGGGAGGAAGCCAGAGTACCCGGAGAGATCCCATGTATGCACAGGGAGAACATACAAACTTCATGTAGAAAGACTCCAAGCCGGGAATTGAACCCAGAACATTCTTGCAGCAAGGCAGCAGTGTTAGTCACTGCTTCACTGTGCAGCCAACCAACCAACCAAATGTAATAAATGAATTGTGTACATTCTAAATGTCCAAATATAAGGCATAAGAGCTCAGTGGATTTAAGTCAGAAAAACTATAGAATTTTATATTACAAAATGTTTAGGGATGCTGTGTGTTGCTATTTGAACTTGAAGTCTTGCCATATTTTCCACCTTGTGCTAAAATCTCAGTATCAACCACTTTCCATACATTCCATGTTGTTTACAGACAGACACTTTGGCAAAGTAATAGTGGCAGCAGCTGCTATACTTAGAGTAGAAGCTCAGCAGTTCAAATCCTAGTCGGGGCAAAACTCCAGCAGCATTGTACTTTACTAAAACGGGAGACACAAAACAAGAGCCATTCTAGTTCTGAGCTCTCTGGAATTAAGGACTTCTGTCTTAGATTTTGAGGGAAATAAAAAATGTGGATGACTATATCTCAAGTATAAATCCCTTTTTATTTCTGGGAGCGTATTTCTGAGCCAGGTGTTTATAATTTCCTGCCACTTGGCTGGCTAAATAAAGACAAACACAATTTTATACGTGCTTCCTGTACCTAGATTTGTTTTGGTAAATAAGCTAACCCTGTTTTAATCAAAAGCCACAGGGGTGATCTGATAAACCACCTTAGTAGGCCTACGACGTCTTCGGGTATTAAACAATAGAAGTCAACAAGATCGAAGCTTAACTATTATGTCTAGAATTTTATAATAAGATTAACCCAGTGAGAATTTTAAAACATGTTGTTCATGAAACAAAGTAAAAACATATAAGCTTACTTTAATGTATGGACTTGTTGTTTTACTGTAGACCCAGTTAGGAGAGTTCACAACCCTGCTTTTATCAAAGTCACATAAGCTTTTAAACCAATTTTACCTGCACCTGT